AAAATAAATTAAAATTACTAAATTTAAATAAAAATAATTATTTTTAATGATCAAATTAAATTAAAAATATTTTTAACACAATTTTAATACTTAAAAAAAATTATTAGTGTTCTTAATCACACCTGTAAATTCCACCACTCAATTCAGTTAACTTCAATTTGTCGGAAGGAGATAAAAACAGTTGAAACTGTCGTATCCAGTGAAACTCGAATACGTGGAAGAGTTGCCTACGTGTTTTTTTACTGTTTACGGCGGCAGTCACAGGGTGTGTGTGGGCCCAGATTCCTAAAAAACTAAAAAAGCGTACCACTCTCATTTTCTTTCTATCTCCTAATCGTACAATTTTCTCTCTCTTTCTTTCTTCCCCCACTGAAACGGCATTTAATATCAATAATTAACAAACTCTCTCCTAACATTTCCTAAATTTCCTCTTGTTTTCTCTATCGTCCTCCTTCCTCCTCCTCTCAATGTCCCATGGTCTTCCTCCGGCGTTCTTCACAGTCGTCTCAGGCCAGCAGCGGAGTCAGCAGTTCAAAATATCTGGGCAAGTTTCTGTCTTCTACTCTGTTTATTTCACGTGAACTTCTATGTTGTCTCGAGTGGTGGGAGTTGTGTGATTGAGGAATTTTGTGGTGAGAGAATAAAGGGTTGGCTTTGTTACCGGTTCTGAGGTGATTAGTAGGGAATTTGAGGATTTTGGGCATTTGAGCGGCTCTTCTCTGGATACATATATGTCTTGGTGAACTGTTTTTGGACTTTTGGGGTCACAGGGAGGACGAATAGATGAAAAAACTTGAAGGGTTTGGTTTCTCTTTTTGAGTATGTAAGCTTATAATTTCTGAGAAGGATTAAAGTTTGTTCCTTTATTGGGTTCTCATGTAACTTCTTTACTTGGGTCTGGTTGAATTGGAGTCTTGACATTTTAATTTTCTGGGTCTTTTCAGTTTGATGAAATGGATGCTAAATTTAGAGGCGAGGCTCATCATTTATATGGGCCGGTATCGGATTTGAAGGCTGTTGGGAAGAAGAGTTTAGAGTGGGATTTGAATGACTGGAAATGGGATGGCGATCTTTTTACAGCTAGTCCTTTGAATTCAGTACCATCAGATGGTAGTAGGCAGTTGTTCCCTGTTGAGCCTGAAATTCATGTAAATGCGGGTTTGTCAAACAGCTGGTCTTCTTGTTCAGATAATAACAATCCTGGGAATGAGAAAGGGAAGGAGGAATTGGAGAAGAGGAGGAGAATTATGGTTGCTGAAGATGATGAGGTAAATGATGAAGCTGGCTCGCTTGATTTTAAGCTAGGCCGTCAAGTTTACCCTGTCATAGATGGAGATGCAAAGAGTGGGACGAAGACTAAGGTTATTGGGACTACTTCAAATCGTGCAGTTTGTCAAGTGGAGGATTGTAGGGCTGATCTTAGCAATGCAAAGGATTATCACCGTAGGCATAAGGTTTGTGAGATGCATTCAAAAGCCAGTAAAGCACTGGTGGGAAATGTGATGCAGCGGTTCTGCCAGCAGTGTAGCAGGTGGGTTGGATTTTGTTACTATCTTTGGTCTGCAATAAAAGGCAAAAAATTTTTAATGTTGTTGTGACTTATGATCCTGATCATTACGGTGATGATATATTTTTATTATTGAAACTATATTTGTTTGATGGCCAAAAAAGGAAAAATTGACATGAATCTTTACAGAGGATGATATTATGATTCCTTGTTCAAGTCCAGAATCATTGTTGAATGCTATTTCTAAGAGTAGTCTAAGTTGAAGAATTTTTTTCTCCATTTGGATGCAACTTGCTTATTCTCATTGGCAGGTTTCATGTTCTTCAAGAGTTTGATGAAGGGAAGAGGAGTTGTCGCCGGCGTTTGGCAGGGCATAACAAACGTAGGAGGAAAATGCATCCTGATAATGTTGCAAATGGAGGCTCATTGAATGATGAAAAGAGTATTGGTTATTTGTTGTTAAGTCTTCTAAGGATTCTCTCCAACATGCATTGTAAGTAGCTGCTCTGCCTCAAGTCTAAATCTATTGCTGCTTAAATAATGCGGTGAAATGGTGCTCATTTCATGGGTGATAGCTGCTCTACTTGAAGTCTTTTGCTCTCTCTAGGCAACATACTAGATTGTGACAGTGAGCTTCAGATTCTTCTGGGATTCTTGTTCTAAATTCTAGAGCACTTGCATATATTACATGATTTGGGGAGTCCTGGAAGGGTTGCTATTTATTAAGTGACAAGTTTTCTGAAGTAATCTTTTGTTAAAAGAATATACTTCCATAGTGTGGACTGTTTTGCTAGTTGATGCATGATCTGTTTTTCCTGTTCTCTTCCACCTTTGATTAACCTACTTACTGTACTTAAAAGTGTGTTGACATTTTTAATTGTAGCAAATAACTCTGATCAAACAAAGGATCAAGATTTGTATTCTCATCTGTTAAGGAGTCTGGCCAGTCTAGCAGACTCAGCTAACGGAAGGAACTTATCTGGATTAATTCAAGGCTCTCAGGGTATGATGAACGTGGGGACATCACTTGTGGATCTTGAAAAAGGGAAAGATGTAGTTCCTAATGTTACTGAAACTCTTGGTTCAGCCTGTAAAATAGATGAGTGTACTAAAATCTCAGACCGGCAGAGGCCTATGGGTCAATGTGGGACTGTACCTGATTCTGAATCAGCACAGAAAATAAAATTCATTGATAATTCTCAGCACAGAAGACTATTAGCACTATCTGGTTCACCACCTACAATACCAATTCCATCAAGGAGCTTTCCAGCCAGAGCAATTGAAGCAGGGTCTACAGTTGGAGGGATAAGAATGAGTAATATTGACTTGAATAATGCTTATGATGATTCGCAGGACAATGCAGAGAGCTTACAGATATCTCATAACCCTAAAGATCAAGGAAATGATTACTTGTCCAGGTCTCTGTGCATAAATCAGGAGTCACACAAATTAGGTCCACTACAGTTGAGTTGGAACTCAGGTTCCACTTCTAGTCAGTCACCATCTAATTCCAGTGGGGAAGTCCAGGTATATCTTCTGTAAAACAAAACTTTCTTTGCCTTTTTAACTGCTCTATTTCCCTCTTTGATTTTTCCACCTTAATAGAGTAAATTGAAGTGACCCAACAGCTATGAAGCAATCTTCCTTTTAGGCAAAGTATATGTGTGCAAAGCTGTTGAATAAGTTCTAAAGGGGATTTTTTTTTTTCAATTGACTGATCTTCTGGTCAATTTTCAGTGTCACACAGATCAAATTGTTTTCAAGCTTTTTGGGAAAGATCCAAATGATTTTCCCGCTGCTCTGCGGAGACAGGTAAATTAAAGATGGTTTAGGTGCAAGTTCATTTTAATAATTGTTTACATAGATGGTTTAATTTTGGGAACAATGTTGAACTTCCAGGTCCTTGATTGGTTGTCCCATAGTCCAACAGACATTGAAAGCTACATAAGGCCTGGCTGTGTTATATTGACCATATATCTCCGTTTAGGAAAGCCTTCATGGGAAGAGGTATATTTGCTGCAGATAGCAAAATGAGTTTTAATCCAGAGACTTAGGGAAAGCCTTGCTTATCTTAGTAACTGGTTATATTGCAGCTATGCTGTGACCTGGGATCCAGTTTGAGAAGGCTAGTTGATGGCTCCGATGATTCCTTTTGGAGAACAGGATATGTGTATGCTAGGGTGCAGCACTCAGTAGCCTTCATTTATAATGGTTATATCTCTCTCTCAAAGTGTGTATTCATGTATTCAAGCATGCACTTGAATGTGGGTGGTGCACATGGAAAGCTTTTTGGAGGCACTCTCCAACACATTTAGTATTCTACCATGACATTGTGAATACTGAATAGAGGAATAACATTTGATTTCTTGTATCTGTGCTGCAGGTCATGTTGTTTTAGACACTCCTGGACTTCTAAAAAGCCATAAAAATTGCAGGATCTCTAGCATCAAACCAATTGCAGTTCCAATTTCAGATTCAGCCAAATTTGTAGTTAAAGGCTTTAACCTTAACTGGTCCACCATGAGGTAATTATTTGGGTTCTCTTTGTGTGTATCAGTAAGACCTAATTATGTTTAGTTGGACATGATGGTCAGATTTAATAACTTTTCATTTTCCTTCGAAATATTATTAGGGTCTGTGAAGAACTAAATATTACCACCTTCTGATTCAGGTTACTCTGTGCAATAGAAGGAAAATATCTGGTGCAGGAATCTTGTTATGATTTGACTGAGGGTATTGATGTAGTCAACGAGCATGATGAACTCCAGTGCCTGAGCTTCCATTGCTCGATTCCAAATGTTTCTGGAAGAGGATTCATTGAGGTGTGCTATCATCAGATAGCGTTTTCTCTACATGTTTTGTTGTCTTGTTTTCAACCAATGAGGTCTTCTTTTGTCTTTAGTGTAGTAAAATATGGTTCCCAATTACAAAATTATATCAGGTCTTGTATGGGACCACATATGATTTGTGGACTAATGGATCTTATATAGGTCAACAAGTGTGTGCCATGAATATCAGAAACCAATTGTGGATAAAGAAGAAAAAAGGAAAGCAAAATTGGAAAAGAGGTGTTAGAACTTGGATCTTATAGGGCTATTGTCCTAATTTTCCTTTGTATCAGTGACTGAAAATAATGCTTTAGAATTTAGAATCTTTAGATCCTTCTTTCATTGAAATGACGGTGGCCATCCTTATTGAAAATCTTTAGAACATTAACTTTTCACCATTTTCAAAATATCCTGACTTTGTGACTAGACGTACTTATCATATTTTCATCAGAAACTTAGACAGTTATGTATTTCTAGAAAAAAAAAATACAAATAAATAGCTTGGTACCTGATCTTTCGAAAGATTTCCACTGAGCACCAATAGAGAAACAGCTTAGATGTCTGAAAGAGAAAAGGAAGACCAAAGTGAGGTACAGGAGAGGGTGGGCCGAAATTTTTTCTTTCATGCATGCATTTACTTTTCTTTCCATATCTCTCTAAGATGGATTCTGGTTATTTGATTCTGTCAGGTTGAAGATCATGGACTCAGCAGTAGCTTCTTTCCATTTATAGTTGCAGAGCAAGAAGTCTGTTTTGAGATTTGCACTCTAGAGGGTGCAATAGAGGTGGCTGAAGCTGCTGTTGACATTCAGGAAAAACCTGAGAATTTAGAAACAAAGAGTCAAGCTCTGGACTTTTTACATGAAATGGGTTGGCTTCTTCATAGAAGTCAGTTGAAGTTCAGGCTGGGTCACTTGGATCCCAATTCATGTCTCTTTCCTTTCAGGAGGTTCAAGTGGCTTATGGAATTCTCCATGGACCACGACTGGTGTAATGTGGTAAAGAAACTACTGGGGATTCTGTTTGACGGAACAGTTCATTTGGGGGATCACACCTCTATTGAGTTAGCATTGTTGGATTTGGGTCTTCTTCACAGAGCTGTTAGACGAAAATGCAGACCCATGGTGGAACTACTGTTACGATATGTCCCCTGTAATGTATCAGAGCAGAAGAAACAGGTGGAAGGAGGCTACAACAAGTTCATATTTAAACCGGATATTATTGGACCAGCTGGGTTGACTCCTCTTCATGTGGCAGCTAGTATAGCAGGCTCTGAGAATGTCCTAGAAGCCTTAATTGATGATCCTGGATCGGTATCTACTCACCTCTCTTAGTATATTATCTGACGTTCGATTCTTAAATTGTGCATAATGATATTCTTGATGCATTTAATGTTTCTACAAGAAACCTATTTGTGATCTTGATTCCTAGATTCTTAATGAAAACTGAATCTTGAGATATAAGTCCATGGTTAACCTTAAATGTCTCAGAAATATTACATTGGAAAATTAAGCTTCATAAAACCAATCTTGAGATGCATTTTGTTCTTTTGATGTGGATTTTTTAAAAAATTGTTTGAACCTTGGCTTCTTTGCTGATGCTGATACAACTACTCCTTGTCCAGGTGGGAATTGGAGCATGGAAAAGCGCTCGTGACAGTACAGGGTTGACACCTCAAGATTATGCATCTCTCCAGGGCCATTACTCCTACCTACATATAGTCCAGGGGAAAATCAACAAGAAATCAGAACATGAACATGTGGTACTGGATATTCCTGGAACCCTCTTAGAGTACAACTTGAAGCTGAAACTCTCAGATAATCCTAAATCAGCTATAGTAGCCAGTTTGCAGACGGAGAAAATCGAGATGAAGGGAATGCAGCAGTGCTGCAAGGCATGCAAACAGAAGCTTGCTTATGGAAACCACAGAACAACCCTTGTATACAGACCTGCAATGCTCTCCATGGTGGCCATTGCTGCAGTCTGCGTGTGCGTGGCCCTCCTCTTCAAAAGCCAACCTGAAGTCTTTCATGTATTCCAGCCATTCAGGTGGGAAACTCTGAAATTTGGGTCTATCTAAGTAGTTAATCAAATTAGTTTCAATCAACAAGATGGAATTGTTTCCCATCCCAACCATTGTCTTACTCTCATAAGAATGTAAAAGCCAACCATTGTCTTATAACACCTCTTTAGTGTAATTATAACCATTATAACTATACTCTATAAATAGTTGAATTACCAATGATTTGTTGGATGGAATTCGATTGTTTTCAAATAAAATATCAAATTTGAGTAAGGTAAATATACAAATAGACGTTGAAAGAAGTTTTTTTTTTAATAAACATATCATAAAAGATATTAAAGAAAAAAATATACTAGTTATTTTCTTATACTTATATACATCATCATTACAGCGTTGGATTC